AGACATTAAAGGGATCAGCCCTACAATTTGCATGCACCGAATTCTGATGGAAGATGGAGTAAAGCCCACCGTTGATGCTCAACGTCGTTTGAATCCAATTATGAAAGAAGTTGTTCGTACTGAGGTTATGAAGCTTCTAGATGCTGGGATGATCTACCCCATTTCAGATAGTAAGTGGGTTAGTGCAACTCAAGTGGTGCCCAAGCGTTCTGGAATTACAGTTGTGAAGAATGACAATAATGAACTTGTGCCTACACGTTTGACTACTGGGTGGGGTACGTGTGTTGATTACAGAAAGATCAATGCGGGCACTAGAAAGGATCATTTTCCATTGCCTTTCACTGATCAAATGTTGGAAAGGTTGGCTGGTCGTGCGTTCTATTGTTTCTTGGATGGATATTCAGGGTACAACCAGATTCCAGTTGCACCTGAAGATCAAGAGAAGACAACCTTTACATGTCCTTTTGGGACTTTTGCATATCGAAGAATGCCCTTTGGTTTGTGCAATGCTCCTGCAACGTTTCAACGATGCATGATGAGCATATTTTCCGGATTGGTTGAACAGGTAGTTGAAGTGTTTATGGATGACTTTTCTGTTTTTGGGGATTCTTTTGATGAATGTTTGAACAATTTATCCTTAGTTCTTGACAGATGCATTAAGACAAACCTTGTTTTAAATTGGGAAAAGTGTCATTTCATGGTTAAGCAGGGGATTGTCCTAGGCCACTTGATTTCTAACAGGGGTATTGAGGTTGATAAGGCCAAAATTGATGTAATTGCAAAGCTGCCACCACCGTGAGCTGTTAAAAGTGTTCGATGTTTTCTTGGTCATGCTGGGTTTTACAGACGGTTTATCAAGGATTTCTCCAAGATTAGCCGACCATTGTGTAATTTATTGGCTAAGGATGCTCCTTTTGTCTTTGATGATGCTTGTTTGGAGGCTTTCAACAAGTTAAAGACACTCCTCACTACAGCACCCATTATTGCAGCACCTAATTGGAGTTTACCTTTCGAATTGATGTGTGATGTTTCAGATTACGCAGTAGGAGCGGTTCTTGGACAGCGGAAAGATAAGTTTCCCCAAGTTATTCATTATGCTAGTCGAACACTCAATGATGCACAGCTGAACTATGCGACCACAGAGAAGGAATTGTTGGCAGTTGTTTTTACATTAGAAAAATTTCGA